GTTCATTAGATGGGCTCTGCGCCTGCTGGATGGCACCTGTATGTACGCAGAAAACCCCCCGGGTGACAGAACAACAAGTAATCGGCTCATGGACGGGTAAACAACATTTCATGATATATCGCAGCCCGGCTTCTTTGACTATCACATCATATACTGGCTACCATTGAAGTGAATGAATAATTAATGCATTTGGACCATGAAATCAAATAATGCAGCCATGTGACAGTCTCACTGAAGTCTTTCTATAGGGCAAACATTGATTCCAGGTTCTCTGGTTTCATATTGACAGCTAGTTTTGCATAATACATCAAGCACAGATGTGCCGTGATAAAAGGGTGAATCCACCTTAAAAGGGTTGTCATTTCAATTATACCCATGCTCTTAGACAGTCTAATTAATATTAATAAAAATGAGCATCACTCTTCATTCAGTCCCAGCAACTCTAGAATGAAACTATGATGACATGCAGAACCTGGTGCCACAATAACTGATAATGTGTGATTTCATTCTAGACTGAACAAGATAAAAATGGGCTCTTAGGGGACATTTCACTGTCAGCAGCTCTATTTTTTTGCTTACTTATTATATTACTGAAAGAGCTTTGCTGTTTCTGTTTGAACTATTTTCAGCCTATGATAATAATAATAAAAAATCTTCTTACAAGGTGCTAAATTACATAATCTATAACCCAAATGTTTTTTTATTGGTTTTTAATCTCAGAATAGAATGGCATGCTTGCATTAATGAGCCTTATGCGTCCTGTGTACAGACATGACTTATCTACTGCATTAAGGCAGAGAATGCTGTTTTAAAAACAGTAGACATTTGCACCGTGTCGCCTTGAGTAACTTGAGTACCTTCTTGTGTTTGTAGACTTTCAATACTTTTAACAACCGTTACATACCGTACAAGTCGTTTTCAAGTAATTTCATAAATGAACATTTTGCTCCCAAATAAAGTCTGAAAGAGTTTTTTAGACTCAGATGTTAAAGTACCGCATGGCGGGAGGCAGTCGGAAGAAGATGTAACAACTCATTCCATTTCAATCCACTGCGGAGAAATGTCACAGAGCACTTATCTGATGTGAATCTGATTTGCTCTGAGCATCTCCAATCATGTCTGTCGGTAGACTCTTCTCCACTTTGATCTCCTTGAACCTTGACCCCTTGTTCAGGACATGTTGTTATACAAGAGCCTTGAACTAGATCAAGATAGATATTCAAACAGTAGAATGAGAAGAGAAACTTGATCGGCTTTTCATTTGTTTTTTTTTCTTCCTCTCAAATGTAACTTAAGGTTGCTTTTGTTTTAATGGGCACAATACCTGCTGTACTGAAACCACTGGGAAGCAATAGCCACACCACAGTCTGACATTTGGGCACAAAGCCACTGACATGTGAGTGTTATAATACAGACCCTGCCAGCTAAATAACATTTGTATACCTTACCTTTTGCAATTCTTTAATGGCAAGCAATTCACTAGTAAATGTACTGTACATGCTCTAATACATTAGGATAAGGAAAGAACATAAATACAAAGACAAATGTTGAACTTTAATTTGCTTACTCTACAAACTGTACTAAATTGCTCAAGTATGAGCAGAACCTTTAAGCACTGTTTTATTTGCTTTCCACAGGCGCCATCTACTGGTCAACCCCAACGCTACCGTTCACTCAGAGATGGAGGGGTGTTATTTGGTGGCACAAAGTGATGTGCTGTCTGAAATTTGAGTGTGTTAGACAGATGTAAGCATTTATTTTCAATACAAATTTGGGATTCTGTTGCAGGGAAAGACATTGTAACCATATTTGAATGTAACATTAACTATGTGTTATTGTAAATCTCATAGAAACGAGTAGGTTTAACATACAAAAAGCAAAGATTTCAATGGTAAATTGTTCATTTTCATTCAAAATGTTAATTTCTTATCGTTTATGTGATATAATTATTATGACTATTACTGTGAAATGCTGTTTTTCTTTTGTTTATTTGCACAATAAAACATCGTGTATCTGGGGGCTGAAGCTGTTTGTTCGTGTGACATTTGTCTGCATCCTTCCTGCTGCAGGGGCGACATGCGGCCACACACCAAACCCAGCCAGAATAAATGATTGCAGAGCTTTTTCCCTTCCCCCCAATGAACGCTGGAGTCAGCAGACTCTCTCTCGCTCTCTCTCTCTCTCTCTCTATCGAACACATAATCGAAATCTGATTTAAAGACACGCCTCCCTAATCCGCCCGTTTCCATGGCAACGCCGGCATCTTGCTCTTTGATTGGTAGCCCCGATCAAGCACGTGTTTGAGTGAAGGCTTCAAATATGTCGTTATCCCCAGGTGCAGGTCTCTCTCCGAGCTTCAGCCACTGAAACAGGAAACCGTGAAATACCTTGTGTTTGTGTAGCAGACTGACCTTCATCTTCATCATCATGGTTGAGCAGTTTGTTGGAAACTGGACTCTGACTTCCAGCGAGAACTTCGATGAATACATGAAGGCAATCGGTAAGAAAGATCATGTTTAATTGTAGTTATGATGTTGTTAGATGAGTGTCATTTGGGAGAGGAGAGTGAAGCAGATCAGTTTCATGCACAGCATCAGTTGCAGCATCCTTCTTTTAAGCCTCATTGTGTTGTAGGTGTGGGATTCGCCACTCGGCAAATGGGCAACATGGCAAAGCCTAACCTGGTGATCAGCGTGGATGATGCTGGGGTTGTTTCAATGAAGTCTGAGAGCACTTTTAAGACTACAGAGATCAAGTTCAAACTAAACGAAGAATTCGACGAGGCGACGGCAGACGGCCGAAATACCAAGGTGGGTCATCTTTGGCTTTGTAAACATGGCTTTTATTTTATGGTGGCTATTTCTGACAGTGCAACATGACTTTCAGACCACCTTTACTCTTGAGAATGGCAAACTTGTGCAGCTTCAGTCGTGGGATGGAAAGAAAACGACCCTAGAACGAGAGATTCAAGATGGAAAACTAACAGCTGTGAGTAATTAACTGATCAACTATACAGTTTGTGTATGGTATTTAAATGCCTTCCTAGTGTTTGTTTTTTTAAAAACTTATCCTTGGACTATAATGAAACGTAAAATTTCTAACATTTGAACTTTGTCTCAACAGAAATGTATCATGGACGACGTTGTTGCAATGAGGACCTATGAGAAAGGAGCTTAATTCCTTTAAACATCAAAGTTGTTCAGCCTTGACCTCATACACTAAATGCACTGAGCTATTGCCAAACATGCCAATAAAGTCTGAACTGTGATACATCTGTGTAATTGTGTGTATGAAGTGTTCTTTGAGGTGCACATATCTTGTGTGGGTTCAAATGTAATTGCCTTTTCTTAATGCCATCACCCCTGCTTTGTCCTTTCTTCAGTGGCCCTCATTATTGTTAAATGCTAGTGCACACTTGCTGGTGCAGCTCATTCCTAAACATGGCTGAGTGTTTAGCTTTCCTTAATGCTGAACATACTTTCAAATCCAAACCAATCCCCTGAAACTTGCAGAACTTGTCTTGGCAAACAGGAACAATGACTTTTTTTTTTATTTTTAACTATAATGTGCTCATTATTTTTTTAATTAAGCCCCAGAGCCTCTGAGTATTTCCTAGTATACAATGGCTAGTTGCCAGTTTTAAAACATGGCAAGTCATCATTCAAACCTTAAAGCTATTAATCATGGGGCTTTACAGGGGGCTTTTGTTCAAACAAAGAAAAGCAACATGTCCAAATATCAGAGCAGCCCTCTTGTGACAAGGATGTGGGTGAATGGGGAGGTGGGAAGCCCAAATCCCTGCTTGGGGTTAAAGCAGTGACCTCTTGTACCAGGTCTCTGGTCATGGATGCACAGATGTGGGGAGTTCAAGCAAGTGCACATAATTTGTTTTATTAGGGTTCTTTGGGGCAGTAGGTTGAGGCCCAAATTCTCAAAGATTTCCAGGCTTTAGCGATTGTGACCCTGGGTGGCACTCCAGCAACAATGAGAACTGATTAATGAAAAGCTGATTTGGTGTCTTGAGTGCCACATTGTATAAAACAATACGACATGCACACACGTTTTACGCATTTTACGTGCGTCTTGGGAACAGAATTATATAAATGTTTAACTTTTTTTGTTAATGAAAAATGCACATTAGGAGGGTTTGTGGAGGACTGTACAGTTTTACCAAACTCATTTTAGATTTCTGAATACCCCATTGTTAAGGATTAAGCTTACTTAGGGAGGTGTGTGAGTGTAGGCTTTAGGTGTAGACATCCTTTGAAAGGATTTACCCCTTTAAACAAAATAACACCATGAGCTGGTGAATTCCTATAAGCAAATATTGTTTTAATTATTTCACTTTTAGCATATAAGATAAATAAAATGAATCCATTGAGTATACTTGATTATTTAATTTATAATAGGCCTACATAAATAACAACTTGCATCAAGAGTTACTAGGACCAGAGAGTTATCAGTGATTTCTGACAAGCAGCCAACATTGTGAAGTTGCAACCAGCAAATGTTTGCAGCAATAAATTATTTAAATTGATTTCAAAACTAAGCTACAATGCTTTTCAAATCATCACTGGAGAACTAATCAATTATATTATAATAAAACCACTGAAGGTGGCCTCATCCAAACAAGTCAAATGTAACATTATGAAACGCTTTACTGCATTACTTTCTCATTTGAATCATTACATAATATGAACCTGAAGACCCCAAATGTCATAATCCCACTGCAGTTTCTATCACGCAGAATGCTGCCCCTTGCGGCTGACTCTTGTAATAACAGGCACTGATTGGACGATACCACTGTATAATAAGGAAGGGGGGCGGGGGGTGTCACATTTTGTCGTGAAATGTGGAAAAAAATTGGTGAGCGTTTGTATGTGTTTAAAAAAATAACTGTTCAAGTCAAAATACGTCTCAACAATTACGTTGTCTCGATGATAATGTTCACGTTGCAGACATCTTGTCTCCCACTTCCAGGTGAAATGATCCGGCATGACGTCGAACGTGACGCTACGCCATCATCAAAGATGGCTGACAAAGAAAACACAAACATGGAAGTCGATAAGGAAAAGAATAAACCATTTGCTAACAAAGTTGAGTCACTCGTTGACGAGGTTACCCAAAGAATAGGCAACCAGAACAATGTGGAAGGCAAGAAAAACCCCAGTGAAAGCCGCGCCACAGCGGAATACTGCGAGCAACTGCAGGCGTGGATGTGGCAGTACTACACTGGATATGTGAACTGGCAGAGCTGGCTGGCAGCGTCAGCCATGTCCTACCCTTGTTATATACAGTCGGCGAGTGGGACGTCGATGGCACCTCTTGATATCAGCTCCCACAGCTGGTATAACGCTCTTCCGTTGTCGCTGTATCCACCTGCCGTCACCTCCCCAGGCAGCCGGGCAGGTGACGCGGCTGGCGGGGCTGCGGTGTCCACTCAACCGCAGCAGCTGCCGCAGGGCAACGGGAATGCACAGAGACCAGGTAAAAGCTATATGAATCCCACAGAGCTGTGCACTGTCCTTGCGTTGGTTAAAGTGGACTGCAATGAGCTCCATCCTACCGTGCAGGGGCGCAGCACAAACCCTCCACCCAATGCTTACTGTATGGGCCCCTCCCCAAATCCAGGCTATTCACTCTAATATGCACAGTCCCCATCCACAGCCCCTGCTAGCGTTTTGTATCATAAACCATACCAGATAAAACGTTAGGATAACAATAGCAAATGATGGTTTGACCACAAACTTGTGAAACACACTAACTTTATATGAATGAATGAGAACAAATGCCAAGATCTTGTGGATTCACATGGGCGTAATGTTAATGTGTCTGAGTGTTTTTTTCTGTCCCCAGGTCGTGAGTATAGCATTCCTTCACCTCTCCAAAGACTCATGGCTGAGATGGTGGATTTCTTCATATTGTTTTTCATCAAAGCAACCATAATTATCAGTATTATGCACCTGAGTGGAATCAAGTGAGTTTATTTCCTTTCTGTGGTGGTGGTGAAATGATGATCAGGTCTGTCTCTGTTCATCGCTTTTAGAAAACCAAGCGATAATTTAATAAACGCAGTCGCTCTTTGGATTCATATCACAGAAATGTTTTCCTTTGCCTCTCAGGGATGTTTCCAAGTTCGCCATGCATTTCATAGTGGAGGAAATAGATGAGGACACATCAATGGAGGAGCTACAGAAAATGATGCTTGTTGCACTTGTTTACCGGATATTAGTGTGTTTTTATGAGGTGACTTTTCTGCATACTCTCATTATCCAGATTCTATATGTGGTGTCAGCCTTAACTGTCTACTATTTCTCTGTAAATGTTTGGAAAAGCCTCCATGCAGTGAAGCTGACAGCTCCTATATATTCTCCCTTCAGATTGTGTGCATTTGGGGAGCAGGGGGAGCCACTCCAGGGAAATTTCTCATTGGACTCAGAGTTGTTACATGTGACTCATCAATTCTGGTTCAGCCCAACAGGGTGCTCGTTGTGCCAGCGACTAATGTCTCTCTGTCTGCGTGAGTAGTTGATTTTTTTAAAGGTTATCTTTCAGCAGTTTTATAATGAATGCAACCCAGTTGGTCCTTGTTTGTATTGTAATGGCCGTCTCCGTCTTCCTCTACAGATCAACTGTCCGAGCGTTAAACAAGAACTTTTCGATTGCCTTCTTTTTCCCGGCCTTCATCACACTCCTCTTCTTCCAGCACAACAGGACTGTGTACGATATGGTAGCTGGTACAATTGTTGTCAAGCGCTCCAGGGTTAGATGACGTAGACCCCCAGAAGAGAGTCCTACACTAATGCTGAGCTGGCCCTGTGTGATGTTTTTTTTTAAAAAAAAAAATGCTTGCAGAACTCGGACATCATCCTTTGAAGGTATCGTCAGAACATGCAGCAGCATTAAGATGGTTTGATACACATCAGTATGAACGATTTCAGTTCCCTGCGACTCGGGTTTGGTTTCCCTCGGACACATACTGTATATCTGCATGTGTATCTACATGCTGCGTTCAGACTCTGTGCCAAATTAATGTCTCCTTTGAAGACGGAGAAAATTATGGTACACGGCTACCTTTTCATTAACACGAGATTTGCCTGTTTAAGTACTCTTCTGGATTAAGGGTGAATGTCTTGTATCACTCAATATTTAAGTCACTAATTATGCTTTCATGAGATTATACCTTCAGTATCTCTTTGCAGGGTGTCACAATTCTGATTCTGAATCTAAAATCAATTGAAACATGCAGTTTTAATAATTAAAATCAAAAACAGGATCAGCCAGTCTCACAGTAATTTTCTCTTTCCACCCCTTTGTGTTCCCAGTTTGTTGTTGACTGGTAAAATAAGTTATTGCTATTATATATTTTAAAATATAAATGACAAAACTAAGACTTGATAGTCTTACAATGGTATAATGTTAACTGTCAGGACTGAAAAACAATGTTTAAATTGAAAATCAAATAGTGCATTTGGACGATTGTGACACCCCTATCTCTTTGTATTAAAAATTGTCTCGAGTTGTATGCTCAGACTTTTCATGTTTGAGTTGTTGACCTTTGTCACTGCAGGAGTGATGCATTGTGCTCAGCTACTAAAGTACTTTTAAGGCACATCGAAATGTATTGAAAGGAAATGTAAACCTGACCACAATTGCTCTTCTTTTACTCTGAACTCAGCATGTGTGTGATTGAAAAGTTAACGTATGACACATTTCACGTGATTAACTGTTTTTGGCATTTAAGAAGATTAAATGAATCCACTAATTCCCTGCATGTTTGAGATGCCTGTCTTTTAGCGGTTTGTCTGCTATTTAAACATTCCTACAGCGTTTTGATACTAATTAGGTAGCCTAATTATGTTTTGTGAACTTAAGCTGCATTATCTCAAAAACGTGTCATATATTTGCCTTATATAATGGGGGCATTTATCCGGTTATTTTGTAACCAGTAATACTTTTATTTTGTATTTCAAGGCCTTTCTTAATTAAAATGAATTCCACATACCCTACAAAAAACATAAAACTCAGAGAGACACAGACAAGTAAAAGAGGAAAACCTGAAAAATGTGTGGAGAAACACAATATATGCAAAATTCCATCCAGGGCATAAAGGGTTACTGAACAGTTTACATTATGTCTCAAATCTCAAACAAAGACCATTATTTGGTGTTTTGACCATCGTCAAGCAAATGAGACGTGAAAGTGATTGAAAAGTCTCCACCAGTAGTCTAGTAGAATTTATGCAAAGGTGCATCAAAGCAGCTCTGGAAGCTCCCGGTGGTCCCCATCAGTTAATAGACTATGGTGTTTTTTTCTTTACCACCCTTTTTCCTTTCAGTCTGCTCCATTAACCAGCACTTTGTAGCCACATTTTAAGACAGCATGTCTGTCCAAATTGCTGTACTAATTTGTTTTATTTTCCAACACTGGGTATTATAATATACATGCATTATTCGTTGAACATTTACCACATTGAATATGAGAGATCATAGATGAAACAGTGAATTCAGAGGAAGATTTTCTAAGATACAGTAATTCTGGCTGGTTAATGTACTTGACAGTTACAACACTTGAATATATTACATATAAAGATGAATGAGTAGGTGTTTTCTAGTTAAATATGTCATCCTTGTAACATAATCATTGCAATCCATCAATAGAGTAATGTTTAATTAATGATTGTCTGAGAAGGTGAAATTGTAAATATAGTAGATTACTAAACAGTGTTCACATTCCAGGACATTTCAGGAGTTTGGCTCCACCTAGTGTATATCTGTTGGTCATACAGACATCACTCCGCCTGAGTTGATGCATCATGGAGAATAACCCCACAGCACTGTTACCTGCACACAAAACTTTAAGCAAAAATCTGTGTGTGATCTTCACTTATGATCAGAGAAAGTCAATCACTCTGTCTGCCTAGAAAATGATTCATTCTCTAATAAACTGAGGGGCAGCATGACTCAACTTGTCTCAAGACATTCTCCCATTCTTTGAGGTTTCTGGCATGTCACATATACTTGGAGGGGACTGTTGGAGCTCCAATTGTTGGCAAGTGTTGACGTGGTGATTGTGTTAGGCCCACTAAGTGGCAGCTTCAGCTGACAGCCACAGATGGTACTCCCCGATTACAGAGCGACCCCCCCACATGCTGCTGCCATGCACCATGCCATTACTGTAGGCAACAGAATAATATAACTGTTAGTTGTGAAGGGCTGTACTGAGGACCAGAAAAGGTGTGGGCAGACACTACCCACCACCATTACTGCACTGTATACTGATGAGTGAGTGTAGCTCTATTTGCAGTTGAGACATGTTTGTAATCTATTTTTGTATCGACATGCTCTGGCTCGTATCCACAGAGAATGTGAAGGAGGAAGATTTTAGAAAAGCTCAAGGGAACACTTATTACCACAAATGATGCCATACTTTTGTATTAATGTTGCAGTAAACCCTCACAGACTTTGGAGTGAATAAACAAATAGCAATCAGGTATTATTAGATAATATACTATAATTTATATAAATCGCAATAAAGATCATCCATGTGTCTATAAATAGAAATCCTAATGTGGCACTAATGATGGCAGTGCTAGAACTGATTCCCTCGATTGCCACTCACTGTAAAAAATAAATGTAAGGTGCACTTGTTTATGAGCTATCCATCAAATGGCTTACTTTGTTCTTTGTTCAGTATAAAAATCTAGAAGAAGATGAACTCAGACATGAAGGAGTAAATGTCTGTATGTGTATCCTCACATTAATCTGTTTAATTCACATACTTTTCCCCTCTATTTTCTATGTCTGTTGTTTGATGCCATGCTTGACAAATCTAGTTACTTGCTGCCACATGGCATGCCATACGGTATGTAGCTGGTGAAGTGTCGTCCAGCCTGAGTTCCTGCCACCCTTTCTGGCTCTTTTAACAAGGGAGTCATCTACAGGCAGCATGGAGGGCTCACAGCTTTCTCTGACAGCCATGTGTCTGTGTCTGAACAGAGCCACGTACAGGGCAGAGGGATAAGGTAAACAGTCTGGGCTCAACTGGACTAAAATATTTGCCGTGAATGATACAATTTATGTTCTTAAAGATATTATTTGTTCATTAGAAGCTTTGAAATGACAGCTGGCTGCTGCTCTTCACACACTCTCACACACACAC